TTATGATAGTGAAGAATTGGAAACTACCTAAATGTCCAACAAGAGGAGACTGACTGAAAAATGTCATATACCCATTCAATAGACTATTATGCAGTCATTTAAAATGTCATAAAAGAATATTTTGTAGCATAGAAATGTTCAAATTATATATTTTTAAGTAGAAAAAGGTAGGTCACAAAATATAACGAATGATCCTGTTTGTATAGACTATATGCAAAAAAAAAAAAGACATTGGAGTTGGAGAAGTTTTTTGCTTGGAGTTAAACATTTGTTTTATTTTATCTGTGTAATATCTAACTAAAACCTTTCTTTATGTATATATAATAAGAAAACAACTGAAACAGAAAGAAAAAGAAGTGAATTACAATGTTTTCACTAATGTCTTTCTGGCAGAAATGGCTATGCCACTGTGGTGACTAATTTTATGTGTCAACTTGACTGGGTCATGGAGTGCCCAGATATTTGGTTAAATATTATTCTGGGTGTGTTTATGAAGGTGATTGTAAGTGAGATTAACATTTGAATTGGTAGACTTGGGTAAGGCAGATTGTCCTGCCCAGTGGAGGTGGGCCTCATCCAATCCATTGGAGGGCTGAAGAGAACAAGGAAGGCTGAATAAAGGAGAATTCATTCTCTGCCTGTCTTTGAACTAAGACAACAGTCTTCTCTTACTTTAGGTAGGACTCACACTCAAACTGGAACTTAAACCTTCAGCTCTCCTCATACTCAGACCTTTGGACTCACACAGGAACTATACCTGTGTTCTATACCTACTATACCTACCTAACATTGCCTCACCTGGGTCTCCAGCTTGCCGCTGCAGATCATGGGATTTCTCAGCCTGAACAACCGCATGAGCCAATTCCATATAATAAGTCTCTTCCTATCCCTCTCTCTGTAGTCATGTCTGACTCTTTGTGACCCCACAGACTGTAACACCCCTAGCTTCTCTGTCCTCCACTGTTTCCCAGAATTTGCACAAAATCATGTCCATTGAGTTGGTGACGCTATCCAACCGTCTCATCCTCCATACATATATTTCCATCCATTGGATCTTTTTCTCTGGAGACTAATGAATACAGATTTCAGAATTGAGAGTGGAGTGCTACTGTAATAAATACCAAAAAACATTGAAGTGGCTTTGAATTGTGCAAAGGGTTGAGGCTGGAGAAGTTGTGATGTGCATGCTGAAATATGGCCATTTAGGGCAATGATTCTGGTGAGAATTCACGAAGAAAAGGGAGTGCTGGAGGGAAAGCTTCCCTCTTTTTATAGAACATGTAAATCATCCATAGAACATTAGTAAATATATGGGTGGCAAAGGCTATTCTGCTGAGATCTCAGATGGAAATGAGGAACACGTTACTGAACAGTGGAGAAAGGTAATCCTTGTTATAAACTGGCAAAAGAACTTGGCTGAAGTATCTTCTAATGTTTTATGGAAGGTAAATCTTGCAAGTTGTGAAACTGGATAGTTAACTGAGGAGATTACTAAGCGAAGTGATGAAAGAGCAGTTTGGTTCCTTCTGACTGCTTAGCATTAAAGGCAAAAGAGAGAAATGAGTCAAAGCAATGAATTGTTAAGCAAAAATTAACTAGAACTTGAAAAGTTGGAAAATTCTCACCCTGTATACTAAGGGTGTGGCCCAGCAGTTTGATTAGGAGACTAGTATGGGTGTGAACCACATGCAGATCAGCCACCCCAGCACAGAAGGAAGAAAGGCTGTCAGACTTTTTAGACCCTACAGAACTGGACTGTGGAGCTAGGCAGCTGCACACATGTGCAAGGCACACATTCTTCAAGGCAAAGGAAGGATGCCCACAAAGGTGATTCCGAGATCACTGGGCTACCTCCTCAGTTTCAAGGGTGGGAGGTTTGTTGCTTCTGATTCAGTAGGCTAAACAGCAGCCATCTGGAGCTTGGAGGGTGGGACCCCTCACAACTTGGGCACTGTGATGCCCCCCTCACCTGTCATAGCGGCAGAGGTGGGACCACCCCATTGGGTCTGGAAAGCAAAGGATCAAACCAAAGAGGATTATTCTCAAGCCTCAAGACCTAATATTATTTACCTTATGAGATTTTGGAATTACTTAGGATCTGATAGCTTCTTCTTCCTTCCAATTTCTCCCTTTGGAAAAGTCTACCCTGTACATGTCTCACCACTATATTCTGGAAGCACTTAACTTATCTGATGTCATAGGTTCAAAGCTAGAGAGGAATTTTGCCTCAGGGTGAATCATACCTCCTGTCTCACTCATACCTGATTTAGATGAGATTTTGAACTTTTAGACTTTAAAGTTGAAGCTAGAATGAATTAAGACTTTGGGGGCCATTAACATTGAATGAATGTATCTTGCATGGAAGAGGGATGTAAACTTAGGGAGGGGTCAGGAGTGGCATGTTATGAACTGAATATTCCTGTGCTGATGCTCTAACTCCCTACGTGATGGTATTTGGAGCTGGAAGATGATTACACTTATATGAGGTCATGAGGGTGAGGGCCCTTGATATGATTAATGTCCTTGTAAGAAGAAACCAGAAGTTTCTCTCTGCCATGTGAGGACACAGCATGAGAGGGGGACATCTACAAGCCAGAGTGCCCTTACCAGGGAACTGAGTTAGCCAGCACTAGAACTGTGAGAAGGAAGTATCTGTTGTTTAAGTCACCCAGCTTTGTTGTAGCCACCTCAACTGACCAAGACAGTCCCCTGATATTCATTATCCCCCTTTTCCTTAGTTATGCAGCCTGCTTTAATTTGGGGTGGCACTGAGCCCATCTAACAGATTATTTCTTAACCTCCACAGAAGATACATGTGACCATAAGATGAATAAGATGTATGCAAGAGTATTGATTAGAACATCTGGTCATACTCTTTTAAAAGTACACCGGAAAGAAAGGAGGTATATATAGATAGATATAGATAGATAACAAGCAGGTCTTGCTCTTTTGTACTCCTCTGCTTCCTTCTACTGCCAACCTGGACATGAAGCCCCAAACTGCAGCAGCCGTTTGAGGACCAAAAAGAAAATATTAAGAGACTCACATCCATAAGGCACCAAACTAATGCCTGCAACAACCTGCCTCTGAACTTCATAAAAATTAACCCTTATCTGTTCAAACCACTGTAGTTAGATCAAATTGTAAGTCATAAATGACATGAGTCAGCTTTTGCATTAAAACTTTCACGGTGTGCAAAGCTGCATAAGAAAGCTTTAGGAGTTAGAAGCTAGAAACAAATTTGTCTTTAGAGTTGACTTCTCAGTTCATTACTTTTATATAAAAACAGAATTATACTTTTATATGAAAACAGAATTATTAAACTAAAAATTTAGTTTATTTTGAAGAGCTAGGATTTGTTGTTTGTTGTGAATTCCCACTGCTCCTACTTGCCTGTTACCCATTTTTCTTCTGTTTAAGAGTCCCCAGTTTTCTGGGAATTTCCTGGGGGTCCAGAGGTTAGGACTCCACAATTTCACTGCCTGCTGAGGGTTCAGTCCCTGATCCAGGAACTAAAATCCCACAAGCTGTGTGGATAGCCAAAAAAGAAAAGTTTCTAGTTTCCCATCAAGAAGCCGCGCCATGATCATATTCTCACCCCATGAGGTGCAGCAGGAGGTAACTGCTACCACTGAACTCCTGTGTGGGCATACAATCCAATCCTAGCCAATCAGTGTATTCCATAAACCTAGAACAATGATGAATGCATGACTCAAACAATGCAATCAACTCTGAGAGTCATTACAACGGTTCTGAAAGAGGCACTCTCCTAACACCAGCATTACTGGGAGACTAACTTGGAGCTGTTAGCAGCCTTACCACCATAAATGAAGAAATGACCCCAGAATGAAGACAACAGGAAAAAAAAAAAACCAAGCAAGAACTGGAAAGAGCAGGACTGAATCTTATTGAAACCATTTGACCCTGGTTTTAGACAAGTCTGAACTTTTCAGGTACATGTCAAATAAATTTTCCTTTTTGATTGGACTAGTTTGAGCTAGATCTTCTGACACTTGCAACTATAGGAACCTTGACTAATACAGTTACACATGGTAAGTAATCCTGATTCATTTCATTAGCCTTTTATCACATCAAGTTGCTCATAGGAAATCTTCCCAGTGAATTTGTTTACCAAAAAAAGCAGTATAGTAGAATACTAGTTCACATAGTGCATTGGTTCTGGTTTTTTATATTATAAAATAATCCACAAATTATTTTTTAATTGGAAAAAACAGAGGAGAAATACCATTACTATCATATAATCATATAATCACCACCACCAGCTACCTAAAAGATAGATGTATATATGTATGTGTGTGTGTGTGTGTGTAGACAAAGTTAGGAAGCAATTATCACTGAAAAATAATCTTCAGAAAAAGGATAGTTCAATTCATTCTCCCTTCCTTCCTTCAAATATTTAACTTCTAAAAGTTATAGTCTTAAATTGTGAGGGATAGCAAGTGGAATATGATGTTTTCTAGGACTGTACAATTTAGCAGAGCAGACCAAACATGAATGCTGTTAACAGTTATACACCATTTTCTAAGAATTAGACAATAATAGGAAAAATATCTGGGGGAGGTGAAAAATTCTATCCTATTATTATAGCTATTAGAGTTCTTAGAGATCCAACAGTTCTTTCAGCACATGGTTGAGGAAATTGTGGTTCAGAGAGCCAGTGACTTATTTCCCATAGCAAGTCCGTGGCAAAATCCTGCTGGGAGCCAGACCTCCTTAGACACAGTCCAACATTCTTTCTCACTACCCCACCCTACCTCTGCTAGGAGAAAAGCAAAATACCAAGAAGTTTTTCAAACTATAATTTTTCCTCTGCACAATCTGAAATGGAGAGGAAAATCTCAAAGATCACAATAAAATAATCTTGATTCTCTTTTTATCATGTACAGAAGCAATCCAGAAAGGCTGTGCCTCAGCTTTGAGACTTTCTCTTTGACTTCCTGTCATGATTTTTCTCTCATTGACTTTTTTTTTTTTTTTAGGTCTAATCTTGACTGTGCAGCCACCCTGTCTCATAAAAATCCAACCAGCTTGTTTTGTTCTCTTCTGCATTATGGGCAAACTAATGAAGTCTGACAGAAAAACTAAAATTACTTAAGTTAAACTTAATCCAGAAAGTCTTCTTTGATATCCCACCTGGGCAGTGCCAGCTTGTGCAAAAGACTAAGTACACTGCAAGCTCTAATTCTTGTGTGAGTAAGAGTTTCATCTAAGGAAAGTAAGAGAAATAAAGAGACTCCAAACTAGAACTACTGTTCCTAGATACCTTCTAGTGAAGAACTTACAAAGAAACCAGTTCTTCTTAAAAAGAATTGCTGTGAAGTGTGTATTTTTGCAGTGCTGCTGAAATGGCAACCCCTACAAATAATTTTTATATGGAAAATAATTTTCAAGAGCCAGGATTGCTGCTTTATGGGTTTGTTTGTTTGTTGTCAAATAATAATATGTACTTTGGAGCCTCATCCTCTCAGTTTTAAATATGTGCTTTGAAGTTTCATTCATAAATATTCAGTGACAACTTGCTGAGCTTACAAAATGAGCAAAACAGATGTAGTTGCAGCATGGCAGAGCTTTTAGTTTATTGGGGGAAAGAGGTAAAAAAGAAAAAAAAGTAAACAAGCAAATAACTAAAATGATGAATTACATATGAAGAAGTAAATATTGTGATAAGATACAGATTAATGGAGGTGGGCAAGACCTACTTTAGAAGGGCTTGATTAGTCTGCTAGGGCTGAGTGATGTGATAAAAATAAATATTTGATTTTTGTTCCAGTTTGCTGGCATACAACCCCTGAAACCCTTGGAATCTCTGGAGAGATAAGAGGGACTTTTGTATATTAATGAGATGACTGGTGACTGGGAGCCCCAAAATGACTGGTGACTGGGGCTGGTTGCCAGAAAGATCAAGGCATAATCAGAGGATTGCAACTTTCAGTTCCACTGAAGGGGAGGGGAGAGGTGCTGGAGATTGCCCTAATCACCGACTGCTGATGATTTAATCAGTTGTGCCTTCATGATGAAACTTCCATTAAAACTCCTGAATGATGGGGTTCAGAGAGCTTTTTGGGTTGGTGAATACATGGAGGTGCTAGGGAAGACCATGGACACTCTGCTCTTCTTCCCCCCTTTGCCTTGTGCGTCTCTTCCACTTGGCTATTCCTGAGTTGTATCTTTTATAATGAACTAGTAATAGTAAATTGGAGAAGGAAATGGCAACCCACTCCAGTAATCTTGCCTGGGAAATCCCATGGACAGAGGAGCTTGGCGGGCTACAGTCCATGGGGTCACAAAAGAGTCAGACATGACTTAGCAACTAGAACAACAAAACAAGAAACAGCAATAGTAAGTAAAGTATTTCCGTGAGTTCTGTGTGCTGTCCTGGCAAATCACACACCTGAGGAGAGAATCGTGGAAACTCCTAATTTACAACCAGTTAGTCAGAAGTACCTGGGACTGGGACTGGTGTCTGAAGTGGAGGCAGTTTTGTGGAACTGAATCCTTTACCTTGTGGGATCTGAAGCAAACTCCAGGTACATAGTGTTAGAATTGAATTTCTGAACACCCATGTGGTGTCTGAAGAGTTGGCAAATTGGTTTAGTGTGAGGAAATATTCATGCCTTCAGTATGTGAAGTGTCATGAGTAAAAGCTGTTCAGAGGCTGCCGTAACAAAATAACACAGACTGGGTGGTGGTGCTAGTGGTAAAGAACCTGCCTGCCAGCGCAGGAGACATGAGAGACTGGGTCCCATCCTGATTCGGGAAGATCCCTGGAGGAGGGCACAATAACCCACTCCAGTATTCTTACCAGGAGAATCCCATGGATAGAGGAGTGTGGCAGGCTATAGTCTATAGGGTGGCTAAGAGTCGGACACGACTGAAACGACTTAGCACACATGAGTGGCTTGAAACCTGAAACTTATTTTCTCACAGTTCTGGAGACCAAAAGTGCAAGATCACAGCACCATAGGGTTTGTTTCTAGTGAGGCCTCTCTTCCTGACATGTCTTTTTGCTGTGTCTTCACATGGCCTTTGGTTAGTGTGTACAAGGAGAGAGAGAGAGAGAGAGAGAGAGAGAGAGAGAGAGAGATCTGGTGCCTCTTTCTCTTTCATTAGAACACAAATCCTAGGGCTTCATCCTTAGGACCTCATTTAATCTCCCTAAAAGCCCCAATTCAGTCATATTTGGGTTAGGGCTTTGACTATGAATTTGGTAGTGGACACAATTCGTTCTATAACAGAGGATGATCAGAGAAGGCCTTTCAGAGGAGGTGACATTTCCACTGAGACTTACAGGCTATAGGAGCTTGTTATGGGATGAGCCGGAAGAGGGTCACAGAGAAGAAACAGGTGCAGAGGTAAAATGTGCTTTCGTTATACTGTTTTGAGAATATTGAGTTATGATAGAGAAGAAAAGAAAAGCAAATGGGATAAATGAAACTCAAAAGATGTGCTACGTATAGATAAGTCATTAGTGGGTAGAGCAAGTGTGTTAAGTGTAAATAGAAAGCAATTAAAAGATCAAGAGTAATATCCAAAAGGTTCTAAGTATACATAAGGCATGTAAGCACTAAATAAATATTCATAACATATTAAATATATATGAGATATTTAATGTCCAGGATACACTAAATATACATGAGCACTTAATATTTATGAGGTCTTAATCCAGCCACCCATGGGTAATAACTCTTCTGGTCCATGTGTCCTCTGCCCAAAATACAAAAATTCATAGCTGTTCAGTGGGGTAATTGGCAAAGTCTAGCTCTTGGTCAGGTATACTTGTCCCTAAGTCTTTCTTGTAAAGCAAGTGAATACCATTGGCCCAGGGAACCTTCTGTCTGTTGGCCCTCTTGTTGGGCCCTCTTGCTTGAACTTCACCTCTGGCTCACGAACAGAGAAGGCTGACACAGCAGAGAGTTGAAAGATGTAAAGACATTCCATAACCCATAACATTTTTATAGGTATTGTTATGAGTTTAATGGGGCTTGCCTGGTGGCTAAGACGGTAAAGAATCCGACTGCAATTCGGGAGACCTGAGTTTGATCCTTAGGCTGGGAAGATCCCCTGGAGGAGGGCATGGCGACTCACTGCAGTATTCTTGCCTGGAGAATCCCCAAGGACAGAGGAGCCTGGTGGGCTACAGTCCATAGGGTCGCAAAGAGTCGAACACGACTGAATGGCTAAGCACATTATTTTAATATTTATGTTTTTGCACAGGGTCTTAGCTGCATGCAGAATCTTCATTGCAGCAAGCAGGATCTTTAGGTACGGCATGTGAACTCTTAGTTGCAGCATCTGGGATCTAGTTCCCTGACCAGGGATTGAGCCTGGGCCCCCTGCATTGGGAGAGTGGATTTTTAGTCACAAGATGACCAGGGAAGTCCCTACATAGCCCAGGATTTAAGCAGTGTGATCCTTCTGCCTTTCTCGCATCCTTTCCTAATAGCGTGTTAACTTCCCATTTCTCTTTTCCTCTACCTTGTGCTGTGTGTTTTAAATTGATTTGATAAACTATGTGATTCGAGCATTTAGTTTTATCTGTTCATTGAAATTAATTAGAATTAATTCAAATTAAAATTCATGTCATCACTTACACTGGTCATATTTCAGGTGCTCAGAAGTTATGTGTGCTTGGTGGACAGTGCAGAAAAACATTTCCGTTATCGTGGAAAGTTCTATTGAGCAGTGATACTTCCAAAACTCAGAGGAAGCCACTGTGGCTGGAGGGTGATGCCGAGGAGAGTGATAAGGAATAAGTTTGAGGGGAATGAGTTGTTGACATCACGCAGGGACTTGTGGGCCATGGTAAAGAATTTGCATTTTAGTCCAAAATACAATACACATAATTAGCTTTATATTTTAAGAAGATCCCTTGTGGTATTGCCTGGAGAATGGGTTAGAAGATGTGCAGAAATGAGTTAACATAGAAGGCCTGACTACTATCGTTTGAAAGCGTGACTTTAAAGATTGCCCTTGGCAGGTGTCTGGAAACTTGGATTTTGGGAGAATTCCCACAACCCAATTGTTAAGAGTGGTTCACTTTGCTTAAACTGTTTGTATAAAAAAATGTACTGTCTGTTGAAGACCTGCTTTCCTTTGAGGAATATGGAATTTTGGTACCTTTGAAACAGAACATGGGAGAAAGGAGTGAGAACACATTTCAGGATTCTTGCCTGGGAAATCCCATGAACAGAGAAGGCTAGCAGGCTACAGTCCATGGAGTCACAATGAGTCAGACATGACCGAGTGACTAAACAGCAGGCAGAACATGTCTATGTGATTTGCCCCCAGTCTCTGGATACCAAGGTTTTTTTTTTTTTTTTTAATTATGTATTTATTTGCCTGCATCTAGTTTCAGTTTCACCACCCGGGATCTTTGCATTGCATCATGTGGGATCATTCATAGTGGTGTGCGGGCTCAGTGGTTGTGACTCACATGCTTAGTTGCCCCGTGCTATGTGGGATTGAACCCACATCTCTTGCATTGCAAGGCGGATTCATAACCACTGGACCTCCAGGGAAGTCCCTAGATGCTGAGTTTTAAACAAGCGTCCCTGGTTGGCAACATTTTATTGTCACAACTTTCGCCAGGGTAATTAAGTACATACTGTGTAATTCTAGTGGGATAAGACTCCCAGAAGTTGGCTGATTTTGCTTAGTACTCCTTTTCTGTAACATGAGTATGATTATATGTATTCTGAGTCCTGTTAAGTCTTCCTAGCAAATTATTAAATGTCGGGGGTGGTCATGGGGACCCCTGACACAGAAGATAAAGAGATTAACAGTGAAGTGGAAAAACCATTTAAGAAACAATTTCAGTCATCTGTGCAGGTGAAAGAGAATAATGACTTGACTAGAATGGCATCAATTTGGCTGATGTTAATGATCAATCTTCAGGTGTTCCTCACCCCTTGATGCTTACACAAATCCCAACAATTATGGAATCCAGAAAAATTGAACCAAGAGCTGTGACTCTAACTCATGGTAGGTTGGAGATATTCACTACACTCATTTTCTCCTTGAATCTGTGAGGCTCTTACTGAGGGCATCTACCCTCTCTAAACCACTGGGATTTTTATTGTAGATCCTAAGGCTAAATTGGCTTAGTGTTGAGAGCCCAGGCTTCCATACTCAACTTCTTCATCTCCCATGACAGAACTATATACAGGATCAAGGCTCATGTCTCTGTTAGTCATATACTAATATATTCTCTTACAGTAAGTGCTGCAGTTTTACATAGTAAGATTTTTCTTCCAAGCTAAACTGCTTGCTTTATAATTTATCCTTTTATAGGCCTCACTTTGCTGAGCATAAAGAATGCAATAAATATTGTAGATAGGTATAAAAAAGAGATTACACAGTTTCTGCCTAAGGAAATTATTTACAACTTTCCAAGGAAATATAACCAAGAAAGAGAGACCCAGATATGACCACAAATCAACGAAGGGCAATAAAACTGGAAATGAGAAAAGGAAGTGCTATAGGTGCTCTAAAAGAATAAGATTAAATCTTGCTGAGGGTTCTGAACAAGATAACTCAAAAATGTTACAGAGCTAATCCTAAAAACTTACTGCCCCAAACCAACTGCTCTCATCTCATGCTTGCTTGCTCCCTTTCCTGCTTTGTCTGTACAGCAAAAAAAAAAAAAAAAAAAAAAGGATGCATAGACTCATTAAAGAATGCCCTTGAAGTCTTGAAACCCTTTGAGAGAGAAAAGAGATTTTTAGTTTCTAGTTTTTTGAAGGAAGGCTTTTAAGATCTAAAACAGCACTGTTGGGGGTGG